TGCTCAGTGTACTCAGGAAGGTTTTCAGACGTGAAGCGGGAACCTTCCCATGCGAGATTGCTTCACAGAACGTAGCTTTTTACTACTATACCACCATCTGGTCTCTATTTCAGTGTATTTTCTAAGGCAAAGTCTACTTTAACATTTTGTGAATTAGTGCATGCCTTGTATAAATATAAACAAAACTTATTAACTACAATTATGTGTAATAAACTGCCCTTAAATTTGGTAACTTAAAATCAAAGCCATTTTCCAGCAGGATTAGCCTGATGATTCTTCTGCTTTTCAGTGTTAACTGGGGTTGCTCATGGTGTTGAGTTGGTGGTGGCTGGTCTCTTGTGCTGTTATGATCAAGATGATTTTACTCATGTGCCTATTGCCTTATTTTAGGGGTGGTTAGATGGCTGAGCTGAGCTCTTCTTTTTCTCCTGTTATCTCTTTTCATTGTCTCAGGGCCTTTCCATGTGGTCTCTTCATCAGGATAGTTGGATTTTTTATATGGCAGCTCAGACTCAGCAAATATTGATGCCTGGACACCTGGGTGAAAAACATGATCTAGTTTTGGAAGTCTGAATTGGTTCCTCATTGTGCATTGTGTTACGGCACTTAATACATCATAGCTGTTTTGTAAAATTTCATTTAGAGCACATTCTAAATTGAACTAAAATAGATACAGCATCTTTAGGAGCATTACCTGGTAATATTAGTTAAATACGTAACTTCTAAAAAATTATTACTTAAATTAGTTGTGTAAAAAAATGGAAATAGTAGTGTGGTTCCCACAGTTATATATGCCTATGTATATTGTCATTATTAACCAGAAAGAACTACATGATTTATTCTTTCTCTTACAAAGTAAAATATATGTTAAATAATATAATTGTATTCATGTGGACTTAGATGTCTAGAGTGTTCCAGGTTGCATGTAAAAGAGTCATATTTGGGGGCCAGCAGTTGACGTAATGTCTATGTCACTGAACTCCCATGTTGTGGACCACAGTGGCTTAAACTCACACCAGGTGGCTTAAACTCACACCAGGCGTGCGTGTGTGTGTGTGTGTGTTGTGTCCCCAAGATCCTGAGAGGAGAATGGAGGAGAAGGGATTGTGGCGTGGCCATCCCCTCTGGGGGGTGATTTCTCGCTTTCTGTCTCTCTGGCGAGCACAAGTGTCCTATAGCAAAAACCTCTCCTAAAAAAAAGAAGAGAGTCATATTTGATATAACAGATAGAGGAATCAGTGATTTAATTCTCTAACTTAGATGCCACATGTATTATGTCATTACTTCATGTCTTGGTTTTATAACATATGGAGAAGAAAAGTAATTTTACTCCTTTTTTTTAGAGATAGATCTTTTTTGATACATCAGTGAGGAAAACCTGACGTAAAGTTTTTCACTGTGGCAGGAGAGGGAGCCCAGACTATCATTTTATGTCTGATATAACTCTCATAAATATATGTATATATATATTCTTTATTTTCTTATTATTCTTCTTTGTGTGTTTTTGTGACAGTTACTCTATTTATTCCCTCTATGTGTTATTGGGTGCTTGACTAACAAAATTCTATTTGAATTGAATAATGATAGCTATATTTGTTAAGTGCCTATAATTAGATATTGGGCATAGTGTTAGAAATGTTGCAAATGTTACTTTCAATTCTCATAATAAATTTAAAAGATAAGTACTGTTATCTTTTTAAATTTTAAACTTATTTCTTTTTTTCCATGAGAGAGAGAAGCACCCTCAACATGATCCCACAATACAGTTCTTCCCACCTGCCAGCCTTCCCCACTTGCCAGGAACATGGGCCTGTGCACCTGGCATGGAGGTTGACCAGAGGGTTGAACCTGAAATCTTCCATATGGATCCAAGCTTTGCTTGGGCAGTGCATTCATTACTGCTACCCCACTAGCTGGCCTGCTGTTATTTATCTTTTAGAGATAAAAACAGTAACTTGCTTTGTGTCATTTTGTCACTTCACCCACAGAACTGGAATTTGAACTTAAATGTGTCTAACTATATATAAATAAAACAATAAAATAGAAATAAAGTTATACAGCAAAGAAATATTAGAAAAGAAGGGAGTCTTCAGAAATTAGTACAAACCCCTGATTTTTCGAAAACAAGCCACAGAAGCTCCACAAATCTCCCTTAGTTTAGTAATGCACAAGTCCATCTGTTCTTAGTTGACTGGATCTGCACAACTCTTTCAGATCTTATGGTTATTAATTAACATGAATCAGTTTTTACAGTTACATTTAAAGGTACCTATTCACTCTTTTAGTAGTTTCCATCCATATGGTTAAGCAGACAACTCTAGAGGAGTTAGGTATTTTAAATACCAACTGCTTCAAGCCTGACAGATCTCAACTATCTCATAACCAGGAAAGAAGGGTTTTCTCCTTTTTCTAGAACCACTTCTACTTTATGCTACTCTATCCCTAGGTAACACTTAGGGCAGAAGAAAAAGTAGAAGTGGTGTTTATATGTGCAGGATGTAAGTTAGGAACTAGATATTTTTAGCTAAATATTGTAAAATATTGTAGTCTATAGACTTCATTATGTTTGTTGGTTTTCATCACTGAAACTCTCCCTCCTGAAGCATGGTATAACAGTTTGTATTTTGTTTGTTTTTGTTTTTAATTTGAAGGTGAGTTCATTTTTTGGGTGTAGGGAGGAGGATGAGAAAGCATCCCTCCTCCTCGATGATAGCTTTGCTGCAATCCCTTTTTCATTTCTCCTTTTGGGATTTTGGGCATGTTTTTTCAAGGCACTGGTCTGGACTTGAACAGCCCACTTGGTCATGTGGGATCCTGCCACCTTAGCCACCATGCCACCAGCTGGTCTGGTATAACAATTTTTTGTTTTGTATTGTTTTGAGAGATTTTTGCTCTAGGGCGCATGTGCTCAGTGGACAGAGGGAGACAGAAAGGGAGAAATCACCCCCCATCCCCAGGGTGCATCGCCATGGCACAGTTCCTTTTCCTTCATTCTTGGAATTTTGGGCATGCATGCACACGTGCTGGGTGTGTTTTAAGCCTTAGTGACTCAAACCACAGTCAATTCTGAGGGAGTCCAGCATTTAACTATTACACCATCTGCTGGTCCCAGATATGACAGTTTTTAACTAGAAACTAGGAGACCTGATTAGGAGTTGTCATAGTTTTGCCATTTATTCAGTCTTTGCCCTGAAAAATCATTTAAATTCTCTGGGTCTTAACTTATTAAAATTTTTTTTTTATATATTGGCCTTAACATTTTCCTAAGAATGAGGGGAGTTGGTGAGATTTCTAAGTTATTTCCTATGAAAGTTTTGTGGAGATATTTCTGGCAGCTGCCTCACTCCAGCATTTTGTCTTTTCCTGTCATACCCCCACTGTATCCTGTTTCTTCCCAGAGTCTTGTGAAAGCTTTTTACTTATATTGATAACATTATGATTTCTCAATTTTTATTTTATCTGTTTGTTTACTTGTTGATTTCTCTGCTGCTTTTTTTCTTATGTGGAATGCGTATTTATTGCTTGCTGTGTGCTTGGTACTCGAGACAGGGACTGCAGAGAGGAAAGTGGTTTATATTTCTTAACTTTAGAGAATTTGCAGTCTACTTAGAGTTGTTACTGTTGCTGGATCTTGTTTCTTTTTGTGATATTGCTTTTTTATTTGTCTTTAGTGATTACTTACCCTTCAGATGTTTATCATTAGTAATTTGTTTCTTTTTACTTTATCCCTTCTATTGCTCTCTGTGGAAACTATTCATACTGAGCATAAGTTGTATGCAAAGCACAATTCTAGATCTCCAAAAATGAATAAGAGATGATAACTGCAAAGGACTATACAAACCATAGAGTGGAAGCTACACAAAAGAATCAGAATTCAACTCACGAAAGAGGAGAAGAATGATTACTTCTACTTGTAGGAATCAAGAATTGAAGTGAAAAAAGCTGAATTTCTCCTAGATCTTGTAGAATGTATAGGGTTTTGGCAGGCAGAGTTAAAATGACTGAAGACATTCTAGTTAATGGCTGTAGAATGTATAGGGTTTTGGCAGGCAGAGTAATGGTATTAGCAAAAATATTGGAGTAATGCATTTGAGTAATGACACTCAAACACTCCAGAATCTTTTGGATATGCATGGTGGCTGTAGTAGAAGAAAAGCCTAAAAGATGAGTTTTGACTGAAGATCTTGAATGGCTTACTGTGGGGATTTTCTTTTTCTCTTTCAGGCAGAAGGAAGCTGGGTTTGTTCATTTGTTTAAGCAGATGTGTGTGACATGATAAACCATACTTTAAGAAACATTTTTTGGTTGCTTTATGCATAGTGGATTGATGGAGAATAGAGAAACTATAGGGAGGGAGCCACCTTTCAGAGGATAATGAGAATTTCTGTGGTGGCAACTGTGGAAAGGGAAAGGGGTACAGAAATATTTCAATGGAAAAAATAGGCTGAACTGGTGAAGTGATTTAATGTTAGGAAAAACCTGAAGAAGGGAATATTTAAAATACTGAGAATTATTTGTATTTAGATAGTGTGCTTAACATGCATACGGAATTGGAAGGAGAACTTGAGCCATTTTTAATATTAGAAAGATAGTTTTGTCGTGAAATAATATTCTGTGGGGATGATGGTGTGGAGTTTGGCAAAGAGGTTGGGTTGGGAGATTAATTTGCCTAGAATATTTAAAAGGTTAGTCTGTATTTCTAAGAAGTGTGAAGAAGAGTGAAGCATGTTTAAGATAGGCCTTAGGGGAATGTGCAGGTTGAGATGATCATGAGAATGAGGACATAGTCAGATAGGATAGTGCAGTTGCACAAATTCTGAGAGAGAAAATTTGAGAAGGAGGTCAGTAATGTTATGTGGCAGTGAGGTCCAAGAAAAAAGGTTCGAGAAGCCATGAGGTTTGGTAGCCTTGATCAGCTATGTTGGCAGCAAGTTTGATAAATCCCTTTCCTCTCCTGTTTTTGAAATCCTTTCTCTTTTATTTTTCTGTTACATTCTTACCGTTTTGGAATTCTGCTTTCCCTCCTGCTTCCCCTTTTAAATTCTGTACATTTCTCTTTTTCTTCTTCCTGCTTGTTTCCGTGATCTGTTTCCAGTCTTATATCACCCTGGCTGGGTTTGATAGGGGAGGGAGAAAATTATCAGTGTTGTTGCTTAGGCCAGTTGATTTCATGGACTGCGTTATTACCGTGTGAATTATGACTCATATCCAGGGCAGACAAAACTGTGATAGTATGGAGTCTGACGTTTGTGCTGCAAGAATGTGTTACGACTAAAAGCTTCTACATGAAAATTTTCCAGTATTTCTTATAATCCTTCAGTGTGAATTTTTTAAAAATCTAATAAACCTTTATAATGAACTTTATACCAAAATCTGTGGCTTGATGATGAGTGAAAGTATGTTGTGTGATTTCAGTCCTTTTCTTAAAAGCTTCTTAACCTAGTAAATAATGTATTGTGTAGGCATATTCAGAATACATATATAATTGTGTCTTTTTTCCTCCTCCTCATAATGTAACCTTGAGAATGATGTATACAAAGTGAGGTAGGAGAGCATTGAATAGATTAATGAAGGGAGGTCTTTGGAAATGGTATGTGTATGTTCATTATGTATTCAGTGTTTTATTTTGAAGTGGTTTCTCTTGTGTCTTGTTCCTTCTAATGTACTGTCATAAATCTTTTTAGCTTTTTTTGCTTGAACATAATTATTGATTCTCCTTTCAGGAAGGAGATTTAGGCTACCCAAGTAATATGTATAAGTTCTTTTCTGTTATACACATTTCAAATAGCTTAGAAGTATCTGAAATAAATAGCAGAAGTTGCTTTTTTTCCCTTTCTCTAGGATCAGCCACATTAAGGGTTTGTCTGCTCACCAGAGAGACAGAAAGCAAGAAATCACCCTCTGGGGCAGGGGGATAGCCACCTTCAATCCCTTCTCCTCCAGTCTCCTGGATTTGGGGCACACATGCACACACGCCCAGCTTGAGCTTTAAGGCACTTGGTTCGGGGCTCCAACCATGATCAGCTATGTGAAAGTCCAGTGACATAACTATTACATCACCTGCTGGTTCCTGTAACTTAGTCTTTTAACTTTCTCTCTCTGTCTCTGTCCAGAGTGTGTGTCCTCTGGCAATTAAAACAATTAAAACAAGTCTACAGTTATTTTAATATATATGGTTAGAAGTCAGTATTATGGTTACCTTTAGGGATGCTGTGTTTAGGGATGCTGTATAGTGACTAGAAGGGAACACAGGGATTCTGGGTTATTTTTCACTACTATGTTTATTTTGTGAAAATTAAGCTGTACACTTAAATATATTTTTTTCTATATGTTTGTTATACTTAAAAAGTTTTAAAAGATTTTGAAGTAACACATTTAATAAGATTAACATGGGTAATTTGTAAAAGAAATGTAGGGGCATTCTAGATTACTCTTTTCTTCAGTTGTGACTTTTTATTTTATTTTTAGTTTTTGCTATAGGGCATGTGCGCTTGCGGAAGGAAAGGAGAGTAGGAGGGGGAGAGAGAAAGAGAAAGAAAGTGAAAAACCATCTTCTAGCAGGGGATGGCCATGCCGCAATCCCTTCTTTTGGGATTTGGGACACATACATATGTGCTGGATCTGGGACTTGTACTTCTAAGTTGGCCAAGTGGGATCCAGCCTCCCTAACCACTTCACCACTGGCTGGCCCCAGTTGTATCTTTAAATTATATATAAATAGTTCATTTTAAAAAAGTGACTACTTAGAAAATACTAGCCTACACAAATGCCTAAGCTATAGCTTGATGCCAGTCTATCATAGAACTTTAAGAACTTTAAACATCAGAAAGTAAGAATAGCAAGCTAAGGAGTGTAAGAATAACTTTATCTAATCTAGAATTTGTTCAAACAGCTAATCTAACTTACTTCTGTATCTCTAGCCCTTTTCTTACACTTGGTACTGTATATTTATTGAGTCAAAGAGGGACCAGCAGTTAGCGTAATGGCTATGTCACTGGACTTCCATGTAGTCGACTGCGGTTCGTGTCCCGGACCCAGTGGCTTAAAACTCACGCTGGGCGCGTGTGCGTGCGTGCCCAAGATCCCGAGAGGAGAATGGAGGGGAAGGGATTGCGGCGTGGCCATCCCCCCTGGGGGCTGATTTCTCACTTTCTGTCTCTATGTCTCTGTCTGGCGAGCGCACGCGCCCTCTCCAAAAAAAAAAAAACTGTCTGGTTTGCTGTACATGTCAGTTGTACTCTCATCTGCTTGAAGTTTTATCTCTTTAAAAAAAAGAAGCACTTTGGGGCTGGCAGGTGGTATCTGCAGTTTGAGTCCTGGACTAGGCAGTTTGCTGTCTCACTTTCCTTCCCTCTCTGGTAAAATTAAAAAGTGATAATAATAAATTAATTTTTTTTTAAAAAAAGAAGCACTTTGGGGCTGGCAGGTGGTAGCTGCAGTTTGAGTCCTGGACTAGGCAGTTTGCTGTCTCACTTTCCTTCCCTCTCTGGTAAAATTAAAAAGTGATAATAATAAATTAATTTTTTTTTAAAAAAAGAAGCACTTTGGGGCTGGCAGGTGGTAGCTGCAGTTTGAGTCCTGGACTAGGCAGTTTGCTGTCTCACTTTCCTTCCCTCTCTGGTAAAATTAAAAAGTGATAATAATAAATTAATTTTTTTTTAAAAAAAGAAGCACTTTGGGGCTGGCAGGTGGTAGCTGCAGTTTGAGTCCTGGACTAGGCAGTTTGCTGTCTCACTTTCCTTCCCTCTCTGGTAAAATTAAAAAGTGATAATAATAAATTAATTTTTTTTTAAAAAAAGAAGCACTTTGGGGCTGGCAGGTGGTAGCTGCAGTTTGAGTCCTGGACTAGGCAGTTTGCTGTCTCACTTTCCTTCCCTCTCTGGTAAAATTAAAAAGTGATAATAATAAATTAATTTTTTTTTAAAAAAAGAAGCACTTTGGGGCTGGCAGGTGGTAGCTGCAGTTTGAGTCCTGGACTAGGCAGTTTGCTGTCTCACTTTCCTTCCCTCTCTGGTAAAATTAAAAAGTGATAATAATAAATTAATTTTTTTTTAAAAAAAGAAGCACTTTGGGGCTGGCAGGTGGTAGCTGCAGTTTGAGTCCTGGACTAGGCAGTTTGCTGTCTCACTTTCCTTCCCTCTCTGGTAAAATTAAAAAGTGATAATAATAAATTAATTTTTTTTTAAAAAAAGAAGCACTTTGGGGCTGGCAGGTGGTAGCTGCAGTTTGAGTCCTGGACTAGGCAGTTTGCTGTCTCACTTTCCTTCCCTCTCTGGTAAAATTAAAAAGTGATAATAATAAATTAATTTTTTTTTAAAAAAAGAAGCACTTTGGGGCTGGCAGGTGGTAGCTGCAGTTTGAGTCCTGGACTAGGCAGTTTGCTGTCTCACTTTCCTTCCCTCTCTGGTAAAATTAAAAAGTGATAATAATAAATTAATTTTTTTTTAAAAAAAGAAGCACTTTGGGGCTGGCAGGTGGTAGCTGCAGTTTGAGTCCTGGACTAGGCAGTTTGCTGTCTCACTTTCCTTCCCTCTCTGGTAAAATTAAAAAGTGATAATAATAAATTAATTTTTTTTTAAAAAAAGAAGCACTTTGGGGCTGGCAGGTGGTAGCTGCAGTTTGAGTCCTGGACTAGGCAGTTTGCTGTCTCACTTTCCTTCCCTCTCTGGTAAAATTAAAAAGTGATAATAATAAATTAATTTTTTTTTAAAAAAAGAAGCACTTTGGGGCTGGCAGGTGGTAGCTGCAGTTTGAGTCCTGGACTAGGCAGTTTGCTGTCTCACTTTCCTTCCCTCTCTGGTAAAATTAAAAAGTGATAATAATAAATTAATTTTTTTTTAAAAAAAGAAGCACTTTGGGGCTGGCAGGTGGTAGCTGCAGTTTGAGTCCTGGACTAGGCAGTTTGCTGTCTCACTTTCCTTCCCTCTCTGGTAAAATTAAAAAGTGATAATAATAAATTAATTTTTTTTTAAAAAAAGAAGCACTTTGGGGCTGGCAGGTGGTAGCTGCAGTTTGAGTCCTGGACTAGGCAGTTTGCTGTCTCACTTTCCTTCCCTCTCTGGTAAAATTAAAAAGTGATAATAATAAATTAATTTTTTTTTAAAAAAAGAAGCACTTTGGGGCTGGCAGGTGGTAGCTGCAGTTTGAGTCCTGGACTAGGCAGTTTGCTGTCTCACTTTCCTTCCCTCTCTGGTAAAATTAAAAAGTGATAATAATAAATTAATTTTTTTTTAAAAAAAGAAGCACTTTGGGGCTGGCAGGTGGTAGCTGCAGTTTGAGTCCTGGACTAGGCAGTTTGCTGTCTCACTTTCCTTCCCTCTCTGGTAAAATTAAAAAGTGATAATAATAAATTAATTTTTTTTTAAAAAAAGAAGCACTTTGGGGCTGGCAGGTGGTAGCTGCAGTTTGAGTCCTGGACTAGGCAGTTTGCTGTCTCACTTTCCTTCCCTCTCTGGTAAAATTAAAAAGTGATAATAATAAATTAATTTTTTTTTAAAAAAAGAAGCACTTTGGGGCTGGCAGGTGGTAGCTGCAGTTTGAGTCCTGGACTAGGCAGTTTGCTGTCTCACTTTCCTTCCCTCTCTGGTAAAATTAAAAAGTGATAATAATAAATTAATTTTTTTTTAAAAAAAGAAGCACTTTGGGGCTGGCAGGTGGTAGCTGCAGTTTGAGTCCTGGACTAGGCAGTTTGCTGTCTCACTTTCCTTCCCTCTCTGGTAAAATTAAAAAGTGATAATAATAAATTAATTTTTTTTTAAAAAAAGAAGCACTTTGGGGCTGGCAGGTGGTAGCTGCAGTTTGAGTCCTGGACTAGGCAGTTTGCTGTCTCACTTTCCTTCCCTCTCTGGTAAAATTAAAAAGTGATAATAATAAATTAATTTTTTTTTAAAAAAAGAAGCACTTTGGGGCTGGCAGGTGGTAGCTGCAGTTTGAGTCCTGGACTAGGCAGTTTGCTGTCTCACTTTCCTTCCCTCTCTGGTAAAATTAAAAAGTGATAATAATAAATTAATTTTTTTTTAAAAAAAGAAGCACTTTGGGGCTGGCAGGTGGTAGCTGCAGTTTGAGTCCTGGACTAGGCAGTTTGCTGTCTCACTTTCCTTCCCTCTCTGGTAAAATTAAAAAGTGATAATAATAAATTAATTTTTTTTTAAAAAAAGAAGCACTTTGGGGCTGGCAGGTGGTAGCTGCAGTTTGAGTCCTGGACTAGGCAGTTTGCTGTCTCACTTTCCTTCCCTCTCTGGTAAAATTAAAAAGTGATAATAATAAATTAATTTTTTTTTAAAAAAAGAAGCACTTTGGGGCTGGCAGGTGGTAGCTGCAGTTTGAGTCCTGGACTAGGCAGTTTGCTGTCTCACTTTCCTTCCCTCTCTGGTAAAATTAAAAAGTGATAATAATAAATTAATTTTTTTTTAAAAAAAGAAGCACTTTGGGGCTGGCAGGTGGTAGCTGCAGTTTGAGTCCTGGACTAGGCAGTTTGCTGTCTCACTTTCCTTCCCTCTCTGGTAAAATTAAAAAGTGATAATAATAAATTAATTTTTTTTTAAAAAAAGAAGCACTTTGGGGCTGGCAGGTGGTAGCTGCAGTTTGAGTCCTGGACTAGGCAGTTTGCTGTCTCACTTTCCTTCCCTCTCTGGTAAAATTAAAAAGTGATAATAATAAATTAATTTTTTTTTAAAAAAAGAAGCACTTTGGGGCTGGCAGGTGGTAGCTGCAGTTTGAGTCCTGGACTAGGCAGTTTGCTGTCTCACTTTCCTTCCCTCTCTGGTAAAATTAAAAAGTGATAATAATAAATTAATTTTTTTTTAAAAAAAGAAGCACTTTGGGGCTGGCAGGTGGTAGCTGCAGTTTGAGTCCTGGACTAGGCAGTTTGCTGTCTCACTTTCCTTCCCTCTCTGGTAAAATTAAAAAGTGATAATAATAAATTAATTTTTTTTTAAAAAAAGAAGCACTTTGGGGCTGGCAGGTGGTAGCTGCAGTTTGAGTCCTGGACTAGGCAGTTTGCTGTCTCACTTTCCTTCCCTCTCTGGTAAAATTAAAAAGTGATAATAATAAATTAATTTTTTTTTAAAAAAAGAAGCACTTTGGGGCTGGCAGGTGGTAGCTGCAGTTTGAGTCCTGGACTAGGCAGTTTGCTGTCTCACTTTCCTTCCCTCTCTGGTAAAATTAAAAAGTGATAATAATAAATTAATTTTTTTTTAAAAAAAGAAGCACTTTGGGGCTGGCAGGTGGTAGCTGCAGTTTGAGTCCTGGACTAGGCAGTTTGCTGTCTCACTTTCCTTCCCTCTCTGGTAAAATTAAAAAGTGATAATAATAAATTAATTTTTTTTTAAAAAAAGAAGCACTTTGGGGCTGGCAGGTGGTAGCTGCAGTTTGAGTCCTGGACTAGGCAGTTTGCTGTCTCACTTTCCTTCCCTCTCTGGTAAAATTAAAAAGTGATAATAATAAATTAATTTTTTTTTAAAAAAAGAAGCACTTTGGGGCTGGCAGGTGGTAGCTGCAGTTTGAGTCCTGGACTAGGCAGTTTGCTGTCTCACTTTCCTTCCCTCTCTGGTAAAATTAAAAAGTGATAATAATAAATTAATTTTTTTTTAAAAAAAGAAGCACTTTGGGGCTGGCAGGTGGTAGCTGCAGTTTGAGTCCTGGACTAGGCAGTTTGCTGTCTCACTTTCCTTCCCTCTCTGGTAAAATTAAAAAGTGATAATAATAAATTAAATTTTTTTTTTAAAAAAGAAGCACTTTGGTGAAAACACTGTCTTCTTGTAATTTGTATTTCTTTATTATTAATGAAGTTGAAAATTATGTTTATTTAACCATATGGATTTAATTTTTTTTGAGACTTTGTCTATTTAATAGACTAACCCAGGGCAAGTAGGTGGTGTCATGGTTACAACACAGACTCCCACATGATGGATCGTGGTTTGAGTCCTAGACCTGGTGACTTGCTTTCTCATTTCTCTTCTCTCTGTCTCTCTCTTATAAATTAAAAAAAAAAATACTAATAAGTAAAATTAAATAAATCTTAAAAGAAAATAGACTAAACCTATGCCATTCAGTATGGTCGGTGTCAAATGTGGGTATTGAATACATAAATGAACTAGTTTGAATTGAGATGTGTTGTAAGTGTAAAATGTACATTGTGTTTTGAAGTCTTACTTGGAAAAAAAGATTGTGAAATACTTCATAATTTTTGGGGCTCGCAGGTTGTGTGGCATACTCCCACATGACCAATCACAGTTCAAGTCCCAGACCAGGCAGCTTGCTTTCTCACTTTCCCTTTTTCTCTCTCCCTGGTCAAATTAATAACAATAATAATAATCAAGTTGAATAAAATAATTCTTTTAAAAATATTTTTAAATATCAGTTTCACATTGAGATGATGTTTTTGCTATCTTGAGTTAAACTATATTAGAATGAATTTCACGTGTTTTACATTTTTAATGTGGCTACTAGAAAATGTACATTTACATATGTTGGTAGCATTATATTCCTGAGCAGTGGTAATCTACAGTAATCTAATCATTGGTGATTAGGGCCTGAATTAGGGTAGTATTTATAGAAAGGAAAGTAAGAGATTTTTAAGAGATCGTACAGTATGCATATATAAATTATAATGTAGGTTTGATTTTTTTTTAACAATTTTTGTCTTTCTATTTATAATTAGTAATAATTAATTAAAATTAATATATATATTTTTTGGAGAGGTTTTCGCTATAGGGCACGTGCGCTCGCCAGACAGACAGAGAGACATAGATAGAAAGTGAGAAATCACCCCCAGGGGGGATGGTCATGCCGCAATCCCTTCTCCTCCATTCTCCTCGGGATCTTGGGCATGCACGCACATGTGCCCAGCGTGAGTTTTAAGCCACCGGGTCCAGGACACGAACCGTAGTCAACTACGTAGGAGTCCAGTGACATAGCCATTACGCTAACTGCTGGTTCTCAAAATTAATAAATTTTTGAGGGCAAGTACTATACCACTTCTTTTTACATTTTCATTTATATCTTTCCTTTGCTTACTGGGTGCATAGTAAGTTGATTGAACAAACGAGACTTATAGGATATCAGATATTATGTCAAGTCAAAATTCAAATTTTGGCATGCAGATATATGATTCCTAGAATTACTATGTCCTTTATTTTAATATCATAGTATCACCAGCTAGTCAGATGAGTCATACAGTTTTTCAAAGAGGCAAAAGTGAGGAACTAATATGTGATCTTGGATACATCAGATTCTATGTAGTCATTTTGTATATTTTTTCTCTTAATCCTTACAGTAACCCTGTGAGGAAGATACTGACTGCCATTTTATACATTGGGAAACACACTGTTTTTTGTTTTGTTTTGTTTTTGTTTTTTAAGGTATTGCAAAAAGGGGAGTTTATTAAAGGAGAGGGAAGGAAAAACAGAGTTCCCAAGAAGGGAAGGGTCCTGAAAAATGGGTTGCTAAGGAAGAACTGTGGTGAGGGGTTTTTATTTGGGTCAGGAAGGACTTTGTCTGGAAACTTTCTAGGTGGGGCTCATGCATGCATTCCCCTCCTGGTGGTGAGGGGCATATGCTGGATGGGTCTAGTTATTCTCCTAATTTTGGAGTGGATACCAAGGTCAGGAGATTCTTTGTCTAGAAGCTTTGGGCCATGAGTTATTCAAGAGCAAGATTTACATGTTTAAGGTCAAAGGAATATGGTGACTGGAAGAAGAACTGTCACACAGCTCTGGTTCTTCTGGGTCAGAGCGGGCTGCTCTGTCTACCTACCTGTAAATGGGATCCAACTCCTCTCTCAATCACCCCCTCCGTCCACCCCATACTCCTAATTGCTCTTAGGGAAATAGGCCAAAGACCTTTCGTTCTAGCTTTTTTTCCTGCTGAGTTCTAGGAGGAAATAAAGTTGTAATAGTTTTAAATATTTCTTTTATTTTGCCTTTCAGATAAAATCAAAGACAAAATTAAAGAGAGAGACAAAGAAAAAGATAGAGAAAAAAAGAAACATAAAGTAATGAATGAGATCAAGAAAGAGAATGGAGAAGTGAAGATTTTGCTAAAAAGTAAGTTTATATTCAGTGATTTTAGTTTTATATTATGGTCAGTATGCTCATTGGCTAAGTGTTCAAAGTAAGTAATGTTATTTGATGCTGAATTTTGCTGAGAAAACATTAATGGTAAGGAAGTAAAAAGCAAAAATGACAATGGGGAGTTCTAATATGTATGGTAACATAGCTTTAGTACATTTATTTAGTGAGTCATTAGAAAGTTATAAATGTGGGACCAGCTGGTGGTATGATAGGTAAAGCGGCTGGATCCCACCTGGTTAACTTCGTGGTTCAAGTCCAGACTTACTGGCTTGAAAAACACGCCGGGAGGCAGCAGGTGGTGTAGTGACTAAGGGCGCTGGACTCCCATATGGCCAACCATGGTTTGAGCCCCAGATCCAGTGACTTGAAAATCACACCGGTGCATGTGTGCCCCAAAATCCTGAGAGGAGAGTTGAAGAGATGGAATTGTGGTGTGGCCATTCACATTAGGGAGTGCTTTCTCACTTTATCACTCTCTCACTTTGTCCATCTCTGTAGTGAGCATGAACCTTATAGCAAATTTAAAAAAAAAAAAAAAAAAAAAAGGTTGTAAGAGTAAGTTTCATCAAGCTATTATATCCCTTAAATTATTTTAAAGTCAGTTATTTAATTCTATATTTGCATTTCTAGTCTACCCATAATTAGATGATTTAAAATTAAAGCCTAAAGAATTTTCAGCATGGGGACCAGCAGTTAGCCTAATGGCTATGTCACTGAACTCCCATGTAGCCTACCGCGGTTTGATTCCTCTATCTGGTGGCTTAAACTCATGCAGGGCACATGTACGTGCATACCCAAGATCCCAAGAGGAGAATGGAGGAGAAGGGGTTGCGGCATGGCCATCCCCCCTGGGGGGTGATTCTCGCTTTCTGTCTCTCTGTCTCTCACTGTCTTTATGGCGAGCACACACACCCTGTAGTGAAAATCTCTCCAAAAAAAAGAATTTTCAGCATGATAAGGATAGTGAAGGCAGTCCCCAAAGATTCCTGGCTCTCATCACCATATCATAGTTTAGGATCATAGAGGAAATGTTTTACTCTGAGCTAAATTACCAGGGATACTATTTTACTTTATTTCTTGCATGTTTACGAATATCCTTATTTTTCTTTCTGGTTTTTCTTTTATTACAATTGTATATTCAACCATTGGTTATACATGGGAGTGGGGTGGAAAGAAGAATTTTGAGAGTAGCTAGGTGATTGGATAATAAGTATAATACATACCCTGTCAATAAATCTGAACTTTTCAGAGACAATTTATGGCAGAATAGAAGTAAAGACAGTCTTGGGACCAGGAGTTAGCGTAATGGCTATGTCGCTGGACTCCCATGTAGTCGACTGAGGTTCGCATCCTGGATCTGGTGGCTTAAAACTCATGCCAGGCACATGTGCGTGCGTGCCCAGGATCCCGAGAAGAGAATGGAGAAGAAGGGATTGCGGCATGACCATCCCCCCTGGGGGGTGATTTCTCACTTTCTGTCTCTCTGTCTCTCTCTGTCTGTCTGGCGAGCGCATGTGCCATATAGCAAAAACCTCTCAAAAGAACAAAAGAAGTAAAGACAGTCTTAAATTCACTCAGAAATAGCATTCAGTTCCTAGACAGCTAGCAAATTAATTAGCCATGTTACCAGGTTGAAAATTGATTAATTTTCATACTGAATTTATATGTTATTAAGCCTTTATATCTTCAAAAGGGAGAAGAGGTCATAGCATAGCATGTACAACAAAATAAGGGGTAACTTATTTAAGATAAGGAGGGTATTAGACTATTTTCATTTCATTTTTTTATCTTTTTTCCAGATGTTTGGTGGCATTTTATATAAACTCTCTATTCTACAGGGCTTTATTTTCTGTGATATTCTAGTCTCCTTGAAGAAATGTGTGTGAGCTTAAGTTGGTGGCATCCTTTCTTGTTAATGCTTATGATCCTTTTGTTCTGTTTCCTTTGCCAATGTGTTTTATCTGTCCTGTCTAATTAGACTGTAAGCCTTGGAGGCAGGAATTGAATCTAACCCCATTAGTGCTACAGCACTGCCTCAGGAGCTAGTGATTAACGCTTGAAATGTTTACCTAACTCTAGCCTATTGGCTTAATCAAATATTCATTTTCTACTGGTTTACTCAAATAGTTTTTTCTTACACATTTGAATGTACAGTGATGTAAATTTCTGTCACTTGAAAGACAATCTATATTTTATAGGGACCAGCAGTTAGCGTAATGACTGTCGCTGAACTCCCACGTAGTTGACCGTGGTTCGAGTCCCATATCGGGTGTGTGTGCGTGCGTGCATGCGTGCGTGCCCAAGATCCCGAGAGGAGAATGGAGGAGAAGGGATTGCAGCGTGGCCATCCCCCCTGGGGGGTGATTTCTCACTTTCTGTCTCTCTGTCTCTGTCTTTCTGGTGAGCACACGCACCCTATAGCAAAAACCTCTCCAAAAAAAAAAAGACAATCTATATTTTAGAAATACTCAAAATTCCTATGTTCTTGGTTGAATACTAGATGTCCGATATATTTTTAATGTGAATTTTGTGACTTGAGAAGATTATATATGCAAATAAAATTTAAAATACCCTAAGAAATGGAGATTTTGTAAAAGTTTACAGTATTAACCTTGACTTTGAAGTATCCGAGAAATTTAGGAGGTATTTTGAACTGAGCTGAACTGAAACTAGTGATGATAAAGGAAAAAGCATGAAATAGATTTAAAATTTAATTTGTGACTTTTGGTATGGAAGATATTTAGGGGAAATGTATTGATATTTATTGTATAATGGAGGTAAGTAATAATTTACTGCCTTTAATTGTAGTGAAGATTAAATGAGGGAAAGTATGGAGTAAGTGCACAGATCCTTAACTAGTGGATATCAATTTTGCTTGTAAACATGTATGAAAGATGAACTGTTGTGATTAAAAATTAGTATAGTCAAATCTATCTCCTCTCCTTAGTGTGTAGTCTATAGATAATTGAATGAATAAACATGACTCATTTGGAAAACTATGTTTCCCATGGTAAACACTGTGTATTAGCCATCGTTATTATTAGCAAAAACAGTTTGTTCAGCATCTGTGACAATTTCCCAAGTGAGCCTATTGTCAGGGAAAAGCATCCTTTTTTTGTTGGTGCCCTGGAGCACTAGCAGAATAAACTTGACTGATGTAGTATACTGTTATTTACTGCTATGTGCTCCTTTATCCTTTAAAGTCTCAACTTTTATTCTCTCCTTGTAATTTTCTTCTAATGATTCTAGTGCTGCAAGTGGCACACACAGGCATTGACTGATGGTGCATTTGAAATCTAAAATAGATGCTAACTCTATTCTACACTAATTTCATTTCCCTCAGATTTCTGTTAAAATTGAAGTTTAAATGACTATGACTATATATTATATAGTTACATACAGTCTCCAAAGTTCTTTTTTTTTGCTATAGGGCATGTGCACTCACCAGAAATAGAGACAGAGAGAGAGGGAAAATAAGAAAGCACTCACACACACACACCCTAAGTGGATGCCACAGCACATCCTCTCCTCTTAGGATTTGGGGCATGCATGTAGTACACCCAGTGTTTTTCTCAGTTTGCTGGGTCTGGGGCTCGAACTGGGCAGTTGGCCATGTGGGGATCCAGCTGCTTTCACTTCCATGCCATCTGCTGGTCCTGTTTATTCATGTTTTAGACAGGATCTGGCTCTGTTGCCCAGGCCACCCTTGGGATTGTGATCCTCCTGCCTCAGCCTTCTGAATCAGTAGGTCTTCTGAGTCGGTAGGGTTACAGGTACACACTACCACGCATGGCCTTTTTAATCACCAGAGGGCATGTGTGCTTATCAGAAAATAACAGAGAGAGGGAGATGGAGAAAGAAACCCCCAATGAGATGTGGTCACAAAACAGTCCCTTCTCCATTTCTCCATCCTGTTGTGATTTGGGACATACGTGTACAGCACTTGGTGTATTTATCAAGCCTCTGGGACCAGGATTTGAACCAAGGTTAGCCACGTGCGATCTAGCTCTCTTAACTAATAGGCTGGGCCCTGATCCTTTTTTGTTGTTGTTTTATTAATAGCTTATAAGAGTTTACACGTTATGATTCTAGTATGCTTGAGAGCAAATTTTTATCATTATAGTGCATCAAAGAAGCTTGCTTATAAGCAGGTAGAATAGAGTTTAAAAGAAGTCAGTGTATGGACCAGTCTGTGGCCTGGTGGTTGAGGTGGTAGGATCTCATATGGCTGACCATGCTGTTTGAGTCTTGGACCTGGCTTGAGAAACATGCTGAGCATGGGTGTATGTGTATCCAAATCTTGAAGGAAGGAGGAGAAAAGATTGCAGTGTGACCATGCCCGGAAGGAGGGAGGGAGGGTTTCTCACTTTCCGTCTCTCTCTTTCTCTCTCTCTCTGGCAAGCACACATACCTTTTAGCAAATTGAAAAAAAAGTCAGCGTCCTGATTTCAGGTTATTGGTAGTGGTCACAGGTAGGTAAATGATGGCAGGAAGAGACTGCATTGCATTGCCAAAAGAGCAAGTTATTCCCTAAACACCAAAGGTTGAAAGTAGCTGAGCTAATTATTACTTTTGTTTGTATGGTAACAGAGTTATATATATTAATTCTTATATCAAATATGAAATTAGGTCCAATTTTTCTGATTAAACTTTATTTTTCACTTTATTCACACAAAAAGTATATTAAGAACCATTGTAGGAATTAATGCCAATGAAATTTTAATTTTTAAAAATTTTTTTTCTATATTTAGCCATTAACAACTCATGCTATCTTCGTATTTTTTCCTCGCTATTCATGTGTCTTCCTCTCATTCCATTCTCTTTTGAATTCTCTTTACTCTCATTCCGGCTGTCTTTTGTACATGTGTGAATTTGTGGTATCTTGTGTTTGTGTCTGTAGTCCACAGTGTGCACGTATCTGCGGCTCTGGAGGAGGCGTTTTCCCCCATCAACCTTACAGTGTCTCCCCCCCC